TATATATATATATATATATATATATATATATATATATATAATTTATGTGGCTACTGTGTCTCAGTGGCTGCAGAATGTACATATGCAGTTCTATGCAGACTTTGATGCAGTTCCATTCACTTTTGTAAATTGAATTATATATCATCATGAAAGTGTGCGCAGAACCTAGATGGAACCATGCAGGTTTTGGTGATTGCCAAAGAGTTTAAAACTGCCAATATAATTTGTTCATGAGTTTAATGTAAATGTATTGAACATTGTACATTTTATGCCTGCCAATTGTCTTTTATAGACTCACAGGTTTGAAACTAAAAATAACTCGAACCAGTTCTCTCGTTGCCGCTTAGGCACCGCCATTTCAGATTTAAGCGACTGTGTATGCGCAGTTCTCTGTAAATTGTTCTGTGCATGCACGCAGAACAATTTACAGAGAACTGTGCACACGTGTGCATGTTGCGCACGGGTTGAGAACCGGCAGTAACACCGGCAGCTACCCACCCCTGGATGGTAGGCACACTGGTGTGCTTATGCACGCCCTTTACAGACCTTTTAGGAATGGAGTGAGGTCAACAGTAGACAGTCTTAGGTTAAAGTTTGGAAGACCTACATTGTTTTATGTGTTACGCTTCTCATTTTAATTATACAATCAAAATGCATAGCCATAATTAATGTTCTAACAGTTTTCACTTTAATAACTATTTTGAAATTCAGATTTCTTTCCATTTTGTTTTTATGTTGCTATTTTAGCAATACACGAGGCTGCAAATTTAAGTACAAATTTAATCTCATCCAGTACAGTAATTGTGGTTGTTTCTTCCCTTTCCTGATTTTGTTACATTAGTTTTTAATATACACAGAGTAGTGTTTTATGATAATCTTGTGCTAAACCAATAATGATCAAAATCTTCCCCAACTCTTCCTTTCCTGTTGTGTTTGAGAATGATTAGATGGATCAGTATGGTCAGGTTTGGAATATCCTAGCTAAGCAACTCTTTGAACATCAGGAGTGGGTTCAGTTTTTAATATAATTCTCTAGCATAATTTATCAGTGAACAAAGAGTTCAAAATTATTTGTCAGCATAAAATTATTCTGTTTGCATAATCATGGATATTTTCTTGGGAGCCAGATCTTAGTATTTGATAATTTAATAGTCTTAAAGATATTTTTTGTGAAAGTCAATTTTATGTGGCCAAATCTAACGTTCCTACTCTTCAAAGCTTTGCTAACCATGGCTATCCATAATTGTTCTAGATGTGATAATTACTGTGTTCAAATCAGTTCTGTGCCCAATTATAGATTACACGCACCACATGAAAAGTAGCCAAGTTGAAATTATCCGTAATACCAAGTTTCCTTTCACTAGTCAGTAGGATATAATAATCTGATGGGTTTCTTCCAGTGGTGGGATTCAGCCAGTTCCCATTACTTTGGTAGAATCTGTTCTTAGCTTTTTGAGCAGTTTGGTGAACTGGTTGTTTGAAGAAATCATTAGGGCAGAAAACCTGTTGTTAAATTATTTGAATCCCACCACTGGTTTCTTCTTCTGATGTGTATTGATTCTTTAACAAAGAAATTGAAGAGAGTTGATTAATATGATTCATTGTGTAGTTGAGCAAATCTTCATATTGGTTTTGGCTTTTCTTTCCCTTTTCCTTTTAACCTATCAAGGCTTTCCCAAGGACCAGGGATTGGCAGATGTGGATGGTTGATGGTGGTAAAGGCCCAGAGGTTGGGGATCTCTGTTAGAGACAGTTGTTATGTCTGGGGTGTGGCAGGTTTGAAACTAAAAATAAGCACAATAACATTACCCAAGTTTGGGAGCACCTATATTGTGTTTATGTTCTAAGATTCTCATTTTAATTATATGACCAAAATACAAAGCCGCAATTAATGTTTTAACAGTTTTCACTTCGGTAATATTGAAATTCAGATTTCTTTCTGTCTTTTTGCTCATTTGTTTGAATTCTAAGGTCCCAAAGCTTTTTCATTTTCTATTACTTTCTTTCTTTTATGGTCCCATCAGTCCTTGCTTGCAGGCAAGCAAGTAAATTGTATTTTTTTCAGATCATTCATTGCTATTGTTGTTACTTTGTCATGAGGTTGTTTGTAGTTAACCTGTGCAGTCTTCTTGCAGCAGCTAACCAGGTGATCCATTGTTTCCTCAGTTTCTTTGCAGAAGCAGGTTTTACTATCTGTTACTGTCTTCTCAACTCTGGCTTTGAATGCATTGTACTCTTGACCATTGCCAGATCTTATTATTGTCTGCTTTGTCTGCTATTTTTAAAATATTATTATTATTATCAAATTTACTTGCCACCCATCTTGCAATTGAAGGTGACTCCGAGTGGCAGTAAGATAAAATATACAAATATCTGACAATTATAAATATAAAAGCAGATTAAAATTACAAACATTAAAGCAAATTGAAAAACATGAGTTTGGAGAGGTGGGTTTGCCTGTCCCGTTGATGCATCAACCATCTTCAGGACCTCATGCCAGCTGGCATAGTCAGGTTTTAAGGCTTTTCCTTTATAGGCTTAAAGAGAAGGGGTGGATATTATCTCCTATGGCAAGAAGTTCTAAAGAGCAGAGGCCATAACAGGAAAGGCTCTTCTGGATCCCACCAGCTGAAATTCATTGGCTGATGGATCTGCCATAGACCCAGCATGAGTGGGGTAAACCAACCCCCCAAAATGGTTCTGCCCATTTTTTTCACTTTGATAAAAGTGCAAAGCACACAATAGATAATTCCAAGCTGATCTATATTATTTTCATATAAAACTATAAGGCAATTTTTTTAACCTTCATTAAGAAGCCAGTAATTATCTTCATTAAG